CACCCACACCCACACCCACACCCTCTGAAGAGTAATGAAGAAAAGATCATTTGTTATGTATTGATGAATGAATACTCAAATGAAGATAGATATTGTCAACTAAATCGAAAAGATATTCAATCTGTCTTGAATAGATATGAGATTGAATTAAAACATACGATTGAAAAATGAAATAAGTGACGTGTAACAGTCAAATAAACATTTTATCTTGAATAATTCTCTCTATTGTTTTAAAATAGTTATTGAAATGGTGAAACTCTATAACAATAGATGAAAAACAAATCTTATATGAAAGGAAGAGTATTTTGTTTCTTGAAAATATTCAAAACTATTGTGAGAAAAATAAAATTTGTTCTATGAATAATGAAAATAAAATGATTAGATTTTAACTGCGTCGTACTAGAATGATAGTGTAATATAAGATAAGCATAGAACAATGACAAATAATAAAACAAGGAAACTTCACTCGTGCAAATTTGTTAAAATGAATTTTGTTGCAATATATAAAACATTTTTTCTTTCATAAGGATATTCTTGTCTGAGTTCATAGAATTGAAAAGATTTTTTTATTATTTCAGAAGTGTTGAAGAGAAATAAAACATCGTTTATTTCTATGGTGTTAAATGATTTTCCATCGGAAATTATGTAATTCATCATCAATGACTTGTTATTGTTAATTATCGAGTCTTTTTTCACACGTTATTTATGATGTGAAGGGATATGTTGCTGTTCAACAAGCAATTAAAAACTCTAATGGATGTTAGTGTCAAGGATGATATTCTTTTTTTTCAATATATCAAAAATAGCTAAAACAGATCTATTGTATAGTCGTTGTATTCGCTAAACTTATCCGATTGATGAGTGGAAAATAGTCGAAGTATAAGGGTTGCACAAAAATCTAAGCGTTATTATCGAGTTATGGGACCACTGATATCTTATAGAATACGAATAAGAGATTAAAACGAATAAGAAAATTTCTATTCGGATTCGAGTCAGACTATGATTAAATAAAGATACTTCGATTTCTGCATATTATCTATCAGATTTTAATATTATAATTCATGTAAAATGTCTATATACTATTTTGACGATAAAGATTCATTTGGGGTGTCAGTGTGGCTGTTGATGAAGAGATGGTCCACAGTCACGCCACCGTCAGATCATATCTTTAACTTGACCTAGGAGAACTAGGAAAAAAGAAGGAATAGAACATTTTTTAGTTTCACTCGAAGATTTCGTTTATGGTAGCTTGAGGGTGTGGGTGTGGGGCGTAAGTGTGGATGTAAAGATCCCACCCACATTCACACCCACACCCCTGCTATCAGCTAGTTTTCAACAAAAGCAGTTCTTATCGAAATTTTATTATTATGATGTTAGTTGAATAGGGCTCAAATAGCATAGAAAAATAGAGCGTCATTTTCTTTATCACGTCATAAAAAAGAAAATTTTTTCAAGCTTTCCATTAGAAAATAAAGTACATCCATCGCTGCTTCTGGATTGCGTTAAATAATTCTCGCTGAAACTATGGGTATATACTCTCCAGAAGTATAAAGCGAGAAAAAAGCTCACACAATCAGTCATTTACACAAAGGTTCAAAAAAATTTTTTTTTTCGATTGTTTTAAAGAAATCACACTTTGACAATATATGACATGTACACGGGATTGTCTTACGTTATTTTTATAAAATTTAATTTTTCATTTCGACTTCGAAAGAATATCTTCTTCCTACAATCAAAATAGAAAAAGTAACTGTTAGTAGATGACAAACACAATGTTGACATCATCCATCCATATAAAAAATGATAAATAGTACACATCCCTTTTTTCTCTATAAAAAGTAAGAAAGTTTATATAGATACTTTTCATTGTCTTTGAGGAAGTATGTATGAAATAGTACAGTATTTCTTTCAAGAAAACTACAAAAGAAACTTGGCAAGTGATTTTTAATCGTAATTTCTCTCATACAAAATAATGCAAAGAAAAAATGTCTTATACAGGTTGAGAAAAAATTCTGTTTAATTAAGTGCTTTATAAGAGAATATAAAACAGTCGAATATTTATAATGAAGCACAGGAATATGTAGAAATTGATAAGTATGAGCAATGCACTGCTCGTCTTATGTTGTTCGAAAACATCGAACATACAATAGGACAATATTCCCGTGAAAATAACCATCACATAATAGTGAAAGGTCTATCATCAAAAATTTGCTTAGGCTTTATAAATCTACTGCAATGAGATGATTTTATTGGATTACACATCAGAATCGAACTATTGAAGTTCACAAAAAAACCGATATATACAATATTATTTTATTTTGATTTGATTTGAATTACTATTATACAGATAACTGTAACGTAACAATAAAGAAAACGAAATTAAACACTGAGATATTTATTTATTTAGAGTTTTTTGTTAGCCTTCTATTCGAAAAAAGCCAAGACATATAAGAATATATTTATTGACGAATTTTTTTGAATGCAGTAATTTCAAAGAGAAATTTGACATGTATCCTTTATGCAATATTCGTGAACGCCTTCCTGTATACAACAATTCGTACATAATAAATGGCTCAATTTTTGTATTTCGTATTTTAATTTTTAAATGTTTTTTATTAAAAAAAACAGAATATATCACAATATATGATGTGAAAACTTCTACAATCGGCAAAGTAAAGCTTATTTTAATTCTATATTTTACTAAAAAATATTTAGAGATTAAAATATGAAATGCAAAAAACAGACCATTTATTATTTGCCATCCATTACACCTTCATTAAAAAATGACAAACAATATATTATTCAGATATTATCGTTTTGGTCTCATTCTTAATTTAAAAGTAAATATCAAACAAAATATAACCTTCAACTATATAATTAAGATATTTAATGAATATGATTGATTAAATGAGAATAAATAATAGTCAAGTTCTTGTGGTTTCTAACTATAAAAAAAAGCTATTCTAATATTTCTAAAAAATTCGATCACTGTCTATGTTGTTGGAGCAGAATCATTGAGTTTTTGTTCTAAATAAGAAAAGAAATCTAGTATAATATTTGATAAAAATAGATAAGAAAATTACTTTTATTGAAAGGTATATTCGTGAATAATGATGAATGTGGTCGTTTACGTGCAAGTTCAAATTCTAAATTTGGATTATTTCGATGACCAACAATTAATCGAATATCTTCATAATCTGTATACTTGAAGAAGCTATCATGAATCTCATGTATATATCTTTGTACATCTTCCAGTCTCGTCTCATGTGTACAATGTATAAATATATTACTTTTGAATTTATTCTCCTTTTCTTTTTTTTCTTTGTTCGTGTTCTTCAATAGTTTGATTTTTAATCATAGTATCCACTAAAGCTGCACTTTTAGCTACTACTATTTGTGGAATCAATGGTTGTGCGAGTAATTGTTGATGTAAGACAAAAAAATGTTCTTCATTATCAATGAATGGTAAAATAGATGAAGATGAAGATAAAGATATATATTTCTCTTAAAAAAGTGTTGAAATTGTGCATGAATATACGTGAATGGATATCTACATAAATAAATGATCATTTTTCTGATATACTAAATTAAAACAAAAAGAAGAAGATCTACCCATTCAATAATAGAGTTAAACGAATTGTACGCCGTTCATTATTAAATGCTTGAAATGTTGATGAATATCGTACAGCTCTCATTAGAATAGTTTGAATCACATGTCGAGGATGATCAGATAAAAACGATAAAAGGGATGGTTCAGTGGCTGGTTTATGGTAAACTGATGAGAAAAGAATGCCACTAATATTACTAATAAGAACATCAAGAAATGGAATACTCTTGGTGATTCTATAATTATTTCAATGAAATTAACCGGCCATAGAATTCATGAGAAGGTAATTTTGGAAGAATAGCTTATCGTTCCCATTTCCACATGAAAATATTGGCTAAAGTTAATGTAAATGCTGATCCCATAGCACTACCAATAATTTGTCGATAGAATTTTTTACCATAAACAAAAGCATTGGCTTGAAGTGTAATACGACCTAATTTTATAATAGTATCAATAGAAATTCCTTCGATTCTCTCACAATGATGAACATGAAGAAATTAAGCTAGAATAGCTAATGATTCTTCTTGTGGTAACATAGTATAAACATTAGTAATATTATTTTATTCCTTCTTGCTTAGTAAGACATCGATTCCTATCATTTTTTTCCAGATTGTTGTCTTTTCAAAATTGTTGCCGTCTAAAATTGCATTGTATATCGGATAGTCGATCACGACAGATATACTTTTTTTTATTGTATGTTTTCGGTATTATTTCATTTTAGAATTAAATAAACCAACAGAATTATTTATGAACCAGATATTTAGTATTGTTTGTTTGTTTTATTGATTATATAATTATTCTTTCTAATGAGTGCGGTTAGATTGTTTTTTGTAAATTTTTCTGGTATTCATTAGTACTTTTTAAATTCCATGAGAACAAGTTGACAGAGAGGATTTTATTTGTTCTTAAAATATTGACAAAAAATCTCTGACTTTTCGTTAGATAGGAGTGTTTGGATAGCTTTCGACGAAGAAGAAACATTTATATCTTTTTTTTCTTTTGTAAACTGATTTTCAATGAAATTGTATACTAGACAAAATCACTTTTAAATTTTATTTTACTCTATTCTAAACCTTTGTTTTTGTATGTAGATAGATGTTGATATTGAAGATGCTCTTGAACTAGCCAGCCAATCAAGCTTATGAACTTCATTTATCAAAGAAAAAAGAAAACGCCCAACTATCTCGTTCGCGTGCTGAAAATCCTGAATTCGATCCTTTACAATCTATTCTATCATCTTTATCTTCGTTTGAAACCAATAACCAAAACGTTCCTCTTCCATTAATAAATATTGATATTTCAAATGATGAAGAAGATACAATTTATGATAATATTAGTGAATGTACTCAATAAACTACTGCTACTAACAACATCGATGAACTTTCTATCTTAAAATCAAGTGTTTATTCAGATAGAATATTTGAAAACGATTCAACTTATTCTACTTAACGTCTTCATTCTTAAACTGATACACCTAATGATATATTTTGTCAATAGGTATGCACCAGTCCAGTCGGACTGGGTACCCAGTCTGATTGGTACCCAGTCACGACTGGTAGCAGTCATGACTGGGTCATCAATCATGTTATCTTTAATTTATAACATGAATAATACCTCCCTCTTTCTTATCAGATTATCATAAACTCATCTTAACCTATTAAAGAGCTAATACGACTCATATCATGGAAATAATTGATTATTAATTCTATGATATAACTCGTATTAGTGCTCTAATAGGTTATGATGAGTTTATTATAATATTATAAGAAAGAGGGAGATATTATGCATGTTATAAATTAAAGATTAAATGATTGATGACCCATTCATGACTGCTACCAGTCGTGACTGGGTACCCAGTCATGACTGGGTACCAATCGGACTGGGTACCAGTCATGACTGGTACCCAGTTCACCAGTCATGACTGGAACTGGTGCATACCTATTTGTCAAACACTTCTTCAAACATTTCATGATTCTAGACTTTATAAAAATGAACATTATAAATTTCTCAATATAATTCACCATGCATTGTCAATTTCGAATAATTTACCGTCGACCATGAATAAACTATTATCATTGATTCAAGTAAAGAAGAATTTATTTAATAAAAAAAGGATTTGTCTGATGTGTACACAAGATATAGTTGGTGATATATGTTTGTCCTACAGGCCCGAATTTAAATGATACAAATGTTGCTATTGTTTATGATTCAGATATTAAATCTATTCTTTCATTATTATTAAAAAAACTTTATAAAGATATTGGTCAATGTGTAAAGCAACTTCGAGTAAATCATGATGTATTAGATACTTATGATATTGAATTTGGCTATGCCTACCAACAATTATTACACAAATATCCAGATGAAAATTTTATTACTGCTTTGATACATTTAGATGGCATTAACCTGTGTCAATCTAACAAGTTAACAATGTGGTTGTTTTCCTTTTCGATCGTAGAATTACCTGCTAAAGTTCGATATCGAAGATATAATATGCCAATCGTTTCTATATGGATTAGTTGGAAGGAATGGGTTGTATCTATATAGCTTCGAAATAGTGTTGCTGTACTTGAAGAACTTAAAACTACAAGTATTGTTAATTTCCTTTTAATAAGAATCGGTGCAAAGCTCTAAAATGGAAACACAAACCGCTCTCATGTCTCACGAATTTCAAGAGTTTTATTTCGTTTATTCCTTTAACAGAATCAATTAAAATAATCATAGAAGTGTTCGTTAGATTATATTCTACTGCTTATTCTTTCGAAACTACTATGATTTGTTCGAGTTAGTAAAATATTTTCTAGAAATTTTCGATGAGTAACTTCATGACATAGTTTTTTAGGATACCTCTTTACATACTTATCTATCACTATTATTAAACCATGAAATCTGCTAGAAGGGTATTGGTGTGCGTATACTTGTTGAATTAACTCACACTCCCACCCACACCCAACTTATCCTGTTGGTTCTTATTATTTCCACTCATGGATTGGATATTATTGCGCAACTAGGGAGTGACCTAACTTTGTCAATCATTGTAACTTTCTTGCAGACTAAGTTTTCAATATCGACTGACAATCGTGATTCACAGAAAATAAATACTTAGTATTTTTTTTAAATATTGAACAACATTGACATTGTGTTTCTATGTCACAAAAATATTCATTTAATCAATGATGAAACATTCAATCGATTACAATTCCTCATGAAAACTGCTTGAAATGCATGTTACTTTGACTTACATATGACTTAAGCCATATTTCGATGACACTGAACGTCTTAAATGGTAGATGGAAGCTTTTATACGCTTGTTCATGACGATAAAGAAGATATTAAATAGTTACACTTGGATAAATAGTATTCCAATTATGAATGTGAAAGTGTGGGTTTTCTCTGCACTTGCACCGTCATACTGGTCTCACGGCAATGATCTCTATCCGACAGTAGATACTACTTGTTCGAGAATATAAGATATAAATTGATTAAAACTTTGGTTAAGTATTACGTGAATGATGTCTCAAATTCAGCGGACACTTGTTACTCATACTTCATTACAGTATCTGCAAGCCTTAGTTACATAACTGAAACTAGTCTCATAGTGTGTTTGCTAATCATCTGCATCAAAACATCTAAAATGTTTTGAGAGATTGTAGACTACCCATCAGGTTGTGCCTTGTATATAGTGTCCCAATAGTACTAAATAAGTTATATGTGGCATGCAGATTGCGCGCGTAAACAGAATTGAAAAGTTACCAACATCATGTTTATGTAAAACTCTAATGTTATCGGTTGTAAGACAAACAATGGATATGTGTTGATTGGAAAAGCTAGTGATAAGGCACAATACTCACAGCTGATATGTTGGAGCATCGTACGCAGTTGGGAGCTCAGTTCTCCTGATCTTGATTTTACAAGTGATATGGATATTCTTGTGTCACCGGTTCTAAAATTATCAAAAACAATTAAATGCGACTAAAGTGCTCGATTACATAAAATGTTTGTAATTTATTTGTTTGAAGAAACAGGTTTTATATTTTCATGATTCTTTTCAAAAATTATTCAATTAAAACTAAAAAATATGTTTTAGTTTTTTCACTGTAAAATTTAATCTGTTACAATAAAAATATATTGTTTTCATTTTTATTAATCCATATTCGAATAATAGACATATCATTTTTATCTCTTATAATTGAATAAGTTGATGGTAAACACATATGTAACCATTTAGTGAGTTCATCATTGTTCGATGAGATATCTTTATGATTCCATTTATCATCTTTACATTGAAAAATTAATGATCGAAGATTATTTATTGTTTTAATAAGATCTAATATATTCGTTCGATTTTCAACTTTAATTACAAGAACTTCACATTGACATCCAAGTTGTGAATAAGCTAAAGTATTACATTCAATAGTATTAAAATATGTTATATTTGATGAAAATTTAGTTATAAAATTAAGACAACGAATTGATGGACACATAATTTGTTCTAATGACATATTTAAATCAATTGAATAGAAAAATTTTAATGAATAAAGATAAGGTGATAAATTAAGTAATGTTTGTAATTGATATTGAGTATAATTTTCACCTAATATCACTTCAAGTGTAGTTAATCGATGTAATGAAGGAATATATGACCAAAATTTATCATCGAAAGAAATACTAATTTTTAAATGTTGAATATTTGGAAATTGAATTGTTAATGAATTTAAATAATTAATTGTATTTGTATTATATATCATATATTGTAAACAATTAACTCGTTTATATGACCAATAATGATTTTCATAAGGACAAGTATATTTCGATTTTAATATATCATAAAAAACAAATGTATCAAATACATATGGTAATGTATAAAGTATACCATGATAATATGTTCCAAATGGTATACAATCACATTGTATAAACCATTGATGTTTTTCAATCCAAAATGAATTTCTATATGTATCAATTAATTTATTAAGTTGTTCATCAATATTTTTATAATGTGAAAATTCAAAATACATTCGTAATTGAAAAATTTTTAATTTAGTTAAATATTTCATAAGAATTTTTTTCCATCTATTTCCACTTAAATAAATATCCATTGTTTTTAATGTTAATGAATATAAATTTGGTAACATTTGAAAAAGATTTATCATAACTGGTACAGAACTTTCAAATGTTAATTTTAATGATGTAATTGATGATAATGTTACAATAGGTATTTGTTCATCTTCAAAATTAAAATGAATAGTTGTATTAAGATATCGAAGAGAAGGTGTATATTTGAATAGATGTGAAAGATCTTGTAAAGTACATGTAATATTTTCAATAAATAATTTTTCAATTGATAATGAAATAATTGAAATTTTATTTAACCATATTTTACTTGATGAATGATAATTTAAATAAAAATAATAAAGTTTTGGTAAACTCCAAATATTATTAATTAAAAATTGAATATCATTTTTTCTATCAATATTATAACCATCAATCATATAAAGATATGTTAAAACAGGAAGTTGAGAACATTGAAATATTAATTGATCTAATTGATTAAATGATTGAATTGAATAAAGTGTAAGAGATTGTAAATGAATAAATTTATCAAGAGTAAAATTATATGAAAGAAAAATTTCCGATTGATTAGGTGTTTCATCATCATCAGAAATAGTTAAAGAAATAATTTGATCAAAAATTGATGGAAGATAATATTGACAAATAATATCAAATTCATATTTAAATATTGAACGAAAATCAAAACGATAAGCTCGAAAATGAATAAAAAGTAGATGATTAAATCGAGAATTTAAATTATGAAAAGTACGAAATAAATGAATTCCATCCAAAAATTCAAATAAATAAAGTAATAATTCATTTGCTAATGATTCTAAATACAACTTGCTTTATTTTATATATTAGTATAGAATAGTAAACTGACAAATTAAAATTTAATGACGCATCATAATAACATATACTTTTATCTTGACGTTGCTTTTTTTAACAATTCTTTTTTCTGATAAAAAACCAAGGTAAGTCTATGTTGTTCTTTTTCTGTCTCCAGTACAAAAACACATGACCTATTTTATCATTATTTTATTGAAGATATTGTTTTACTATTTGAATCAAATGATTTTTACTGCCAAAGAAAAATAAAAAAATCACCTTCAGACGTTTAGATTCGAAATTTCTATTTTACAAAATATTGTCGGTTTAATCACTTTGATCATCATGATGATGGGTTGTAGAGTCTATTGGGTCCAGATCTGAAAATATTGTTTTGACCGGGGTGTGGGTGTGGCTGCTAAGATAATCGAAATCGTGACACCCACAGCCACACCCGCACCCACACGCGCACTCTACCCACATCCACATCCGTCTTTTTCTCTAATTTTATATGAGACGAAATCATTATAAAATCAACCATTTTTACAAAACACGGAAAAAATGCACAAATAAGATCGGTCGTTCAGATCAAACTTCGACAAAAATTAAGAAAATTTGCTTAAAAATTAAGAAAAATTCATATTTTTCGAGGACTTAAATAGACAGTTTTATTGACTTAACATTAGGATGTGTGAATATAATCATTCAAATTATAACTTAAACTATAGATCTAAAGTCCCTCTATCTAAATCACATATCAACAACAAAATTTCATATGAATGACAGACTGTTTTCATTCGTTTTTTTTCTAATGTTTTGTAGAAATGATTGCTTCTAAAATGAGTTCGTTTGATATAACATTGAAGAAAAAGACGTCTCAATGCATCCTCCTTCGACTGATGAAAACCGCAGCTCTGCAGTTCTGTCCATTCTTGAGTTATTGCAAAAATACCTACGACCATTATTTTTTTCTAACAGATATTAGGTCTGAAACTAGAAGCCAAGCTTAGAACTCTATCAAAACAGTATGAAAACTGATTGATCGCGCACAATGCTGAAAATGTCATTTGAATTTCGAAGTAAACAAGGTTTTTCTTTTGTTCTAGAAGCCATCGACATTGAAGCTTGAATATTTATTCTTGCGTGTGCGACGACGATAATAATACAAGTGTACGATTAGTA